ATCCTTCGGTTTGTTGGTATAAAAAAGGAATTGCATTTTTCTATATCACCTGCGCCGCAAAAAATCCGACCCCACGGAATGTGCTCTCGATCCTGACAGGATAATTCCCCTAAAATACCGGCCGCGGTGTTCATCCAACTCCTCGGGATCACGGGGTGCCCGCCGCGAGTTTGCTCAGTAATTACCCAATTAGTAGCTCACAGCTAATTGACTGATTAAGTACCTACTCGTTGAGGGCTAGATTGGTACTGATGCCGGTGTCGAGCGCATCTCTGCTGTCGGGAATGTTCGGCTTAACTGAAATCTATTTCTAGAGTATCCGATATGTCGCTTGATGATTTTTCTAGGGATTAATTCCTAGGACTTAGGGGAAATAATGGAAGAACGCGGAAGATGGTTCTCCTAGAGCCATATCGAAATTGCTGATATGCGATCACTATGGAGAAAAGTTTCATGAACGAGAACTCTTACGCCACTTTGACATCACCTTAAAGGGGGCGTCTCTAAATCGAGAGGAGATTTCGGGCGACGTCGGCGTCTCGTCACTTACGATGAACCGTTCCAAAGGTAATCCTCGTGGCCTGGGGCAATAATTCGAAAGGGTGTGTCCGACTTTGCACATCCCGCTGAATTGTCTGTGCAATCGTTCACTCGGACTGACCGAACTCGTGGCCGGCGAGACGATGAAGTACTGGAACATTCTCTGATTGGACTAGCCGGGCTCTCCCCTGCTTTGCATACCTAACTACACAGTTCAGGGACGATCGCATCGGTTTACTTGGTTAGCTTTAATTTCAAATTTAAGCTAAAATCACAGAATTCCCCAGGTTTGCTCCATTTTAAGATTCCACTTACATCCCGAGTCGACGGTTTTTACCTCGCAAGTCTCATGAATGTGCACGAGGATTTCAAGTATGGTACTAGAATTTAAGGTGATACGAAAGTGGGATCTGAGAGATGCGAAGTTTGAAATGAATCGGTATACCCGGTTCGGAGAGAAGTTTCACGAACGAGACCTCTTTGACGCCACTTTCGTATCATCTCAACGGATTTGTGTTTGCATTTGCATTTCACTGTTCCGAAAATTTCCTTCCGTGTACCGTTTAGCCTTTCTGGGGTAGATTCCAGGGAAATCTTCGTAGCATTCCTTCCGGTAGGTTGCACAAAAGAGCTTTGTTATCAGTCGCAATGTTGGTTCCACAAGGGGCTCGCGTCTTTGGAGGATCTTTCAGTAAATGGAAGGAATCGGGGGAAGAAACGGAGATGCCTCGGAAAAATAAAGGTGCCTACTGGACAAACAAAAGGAGCCGCGGATATCCCTGCTGCCAGTGATATAACGGGCTATCTCTTGGATGAGATCTTCGAAATAATACCGATGTTTGCTCTTACTCGGCTGGAGAAGGTGGAAAATTAGAGCATGGAGGCTCAGGGCGAAAGCTGCTTGCTCGTTGCACGAACACGGGAATAAGCTCCATATCTGAGACGTTCATGTAAATACATATCGGAAATCGATGAGACGAGGCGGGGAGCAATTTTCTTTTTTTCTTTACGCCAGTCGAGATCGAACGGAACGTCACTTAAATTTTTACCGGCCCCGTGAATTCTGAACGATAACGGAAAAGAAGGTGTCGCCTATAATTTATCGTATCGCGACTCATAATTAATATGCCGCGAGTGTCCGTACAGATGCATTTTAAAGTTAAATCGCCCCTCGCCCATGAATGATGTATTGTCTAGAACTTTAGTCATTATCCCGAAACTTCGCGATTTTCGAGTCGTGTTTCGGCCGGTTGCAATTTCGGAGGATTTTTAATTATCGGAAATTTGTTGAGCGAAAATGCGTGGAATGCCGCGGTGAGCGAGGCGAATGCGTCAGGTATATATTTCTGATATTCCGACAGGGATTTTTATTGGAATTGCGCGCGAATAGTCTGCACGGAGAGGTGTAACCGAGTTTATGAGAAATATGGTTTCGGCCAACGAATTAAATGCCTCCTGCCGAGCGTTTTGTTTTTTCACCTGCGGTTTACATGGTATTCCAACCCGTGGAGAATCACTCCACAGGTACTAATAAAGGAAAATACACGTGCGAATTATTCTTGCAGATAAGCTACTAACAGGGAGATGAAATTATTGTCCGTCGTCTCGAGATGTTGTTCCAAGTTTACCAACTGCAAAAAGTTGAACATTTTTTAACGAATCCGCGTTAAACAGGCGCGGTGCTAGGAAGTTGGGATAAATACAAATAATCTCGATTCTCGAGGAGGCAATCAGTTACCGAAGTAGTCTACTTCCTCGGCATCGGGGAAAGAAAGAAGAGGGCGAGGAAGAAGCAGGGCACGTGGAATTAATAATCACTCTAGACTGTCAGTGAAGAGGTACCGAACGAATGGCGGACCCAGGTGGTCTTCCGAGGGGAAATACCATTTTCGCTTTAATTAAAATGAAGATTCCTGCCTCTTAGCCGTAAAAAGTTTCGCGAGAGACTGACGAGGATTTATAATTAACTTAAATTAATGGCGAACGCGAGGCCCCACGGAAAGCTCTACAAGACTTTTGATTGTTTTATCGATGGAACTTCCTCGAGCCCGAAGAGTGTAATCATTTTTTCACGATCGAAATCGTTCCACTTCCCGCCAGGCTCGGGTCCATTTTTCGAAATTAACCCTTCGCTTCTTAAATTCGGCCCTACGGAACGTGGTTCATCGGTATTTCAATAATTTCGGCGGAAGGTTGATCAAGGAATTTAATAAACGAAGGGAACCGGGTAAACAGATCCTGATTGACGGTGTTAACTTTCCCTGCAAATTGTTTTATTCTCTATGCTCCCCCCTATGGATAGGAATCGATGCGAGGTGACGGAAGTAAAAAGAGAAGATCTTACGCCCATCATCGTACTCGAAAGTGTTCGACATATAGAATCACTTTCCCAGTGCGGTCCTTTTTTACATCGAAAGAGCTCCACATCCAAACATCCCGGCATCAATAAAATGCTAATGCGGCGACCAACAGCGTCGTTGAAGGGATTCCGTGTACAAACTATTAAACAGCCACTAGAGGGGCACCAGGGTGGGTCAAAATTTGGTAGCTACCTCGAAGAACATGCCCTTTAAGACCGTGTAGGAATCATTATGCAGGGGAGTGTTCCGGCCAGCTCCCTGGTAAATCCCCCTCAGTGATCGGGGTGTAATCGTAAATTCGCTCCTCGAAATGGGCGCACTTAGCTGTTGCGCGAAAAAGCCCGAGATGCGTGCCGCCCACGTTGCCCTCGTTAAACACGGCTTTGCGTTCGCAGGTAGCCAGGGAATCGTTTCTTCTCCTGTTTGTCGGTCCATCTCGCAATCCTGCAAATCCTCGTTTCGTTACAGCGCCGATCGCGACGAGATACGTCGCCGGTGTCGCCTTCGGATTTGCGTCACTCCGGCCGATCGCCGCGACATTTAGTCCCGGAAATACAGGCGATACGAAAGATCGTAGCATTTAGATAGACCGGCTTGGGCCACATGAATATGTAATGCGGCTTTACGAATGGGCGACTCTGCCGAGATCTAAGGGTTCAGAGATCGTGAGATTCGGTCCACGGAGCGCGCTCAAAGCTTTCCTTCGAGGCTGCTGCACGTGGGAAGCTTTCAGGGATCCGACATTGAATTTCAACGTGTCGGTTATGTCTGATCAGCGATAAGAATGATCTCCTAAACGCCTAAGCAATGAATACATTTATGGTGGACTATAATTGATTAGAGATATTTAATTTTTTTCCGCACTCATCAAAAGCGACTTTCTCATATAGCGTCCAAAGTGTGCTATGCAGCTGAATTAATTAATTAAGTACCTACTCGCAAATAAATAATTTGTAGTCGTGATAAAACAATTTTTCTTGCTTCTGCAAATGTAAATACCTGAAAAGTGTCGTACAGTTTTGTGGATTTAAATTACGTGCAATTGAATTATGAATTAAAAGGGAGTGCTGTGCATTGTCAAGCTTAACTCGAAATCTCTTGGTGTTCAAGCTACGATTTCTATTTCACGTGCATCTGAAATTTCCGAGCTGTTCTTCAAAGATGCTTCAACGTGGAACAAAACGCTTCCTGCAAGATATGGAACACGAAACGTTGACGGTACAATAGGAGCTTTTGAATAATATTTCACGGGAAGCATTTAGTGCCAACTGGTGCGGCTCGGTTAAGAAATGGCGTCTATTCGCCGAGAAATCCTGAGAAATTGCGTACAGCTACTTTGGAACGATCTATTATTTCTGCGCTTAATCCGGAATTCCGTCCTACCCGATTAAACAAAATGGTTATTCATGGAAGAGGAAACTCCTTGAAAGGCGTCTATTTTCTCCAGAATCCAAAGAAATTACGTGATATCTGGACCGATAGGACGCACCTTGCCTTCGGGACGATTCCAAATAGCCACAATTCCGAATTGTGACTACGGCAGTCGATAGAGAGGGTGGACGTTCCCTTCGGGGCACCAAGTCGTTCCGACAAATGGGACGCCGTGGCGATAGAGAAAATTGTACCAACAATGATAACGCAATAGAGGCCGGCTCCTGATAGCGAGCCCCTCGGAAACGATCTTAACAAGCCCTTGGACCAACGGAAGCTCCTAAAAAATCCCAAGCTTGGCCGAGGTATTTTCTGAAATTATCCATCTGCAGTCAATCGGACGATTTTGTTCAATGAAGAAATTTCGTCCCTGCGCGTAGATCTCTTTCGATGATCAAGAACTCATTAAGTTACAAAATCAATGACCAAGCTTCGTTTCTCCTTTTTCGCTGATCCAAACATCATTATGTTACGGAATCTATTGACCAAATATCGTCCCCACGCGTAGACTTTTTTCGACAATCAGAAATTCATCGAGTAACAGGCCCAGCCCCGATATCGCGCTCGGGAGGACTACGCAGCGTGCAGGAGCAATTTGCCTCCACGTTCCGGATCCGATAACGGGCGGATAACAGGCAGGGCGAAAAATCAGCGGCAAAGGGTACTCACGTTGGCCGTGTCGTCGAGTTTCCGCTTCCACGCATCGCTCCGCTCGATCAGGGCATTCCACTGTTCGGAGAGCTTGTTCACTTCCCTGCGGATGCTGCGCGTTAATTCCCTGGCCTGCTCCTCGGCGCTCCTGTAGCCGCGAGAATCGCCGTCCAGCTCTCTGCCGGCTGAAATTGGAAGAAACGAAACGATCAGGGGCATTCGATCGGGCCAGATCGATCGGATTCGATCGAATCGGAGCGGCGAGCGAGGACGATTCGCCGGAACAATGCGGCAGGAATTCCTGGCCGGGCCGACTTTATGGACCCTCGGCCCTCGATTAACGATCGATCGGCTATCGATCTCGCCGGCGGATCCCGTAATCGCGAACAGGCCGTGAAACGAGCGAGTCGCGGCGACAAATGAATTTTTTCTGGCCTTCCCGAGCCCAGAGGAGCCGGGATGAATCGCATTGATGGCTGCCTCGTTCCCAAACGTAAATCAACGTAACGGGTCCTGATAGGGTGGGGCGTGGGCGTTATCAATGCTAAACATGCACGTAAAAACCGGCACACGTGGTACGATCCGTGATTCATAGGACAATTAATTCACCGTGATAGGTCGGTCGACTGCTACCAGCGTATACGGCCCGAAACGCTGAACCCGTTACACTTGTTCTGGATTTATGTCGTCGAAAGGTGCTGCCCGGCCTGGGGAGATCGATCCCGATACCGGGGGCAGGAAAAACTGAGAAAAGGGCTCGGGATGAAATTTCACGGGTGTTACCAGCGACCCGCCTCGAGAGATATCTCTTTTTCTGCCCCTACGTCCTCGCCCGCCATTTTTCATGCTATCGAGATAAATTCATCACGTTTTACGCAGGCCCGTTCGACACTTGTTGAGGGGAAATTATTTAACCACGGTATCGCTTCGACGATCTTGCTCGATGGATTAATTTGTGCCGTCCTCTGAACACTTGGTAGACCTTGGTACATTTAGAAGACTTTTTAATCTAACGTTCTTTAATTTTTCAACGTAGTCTGTACACTTGGAATACCTGCACTACATTTAGGAGTTCGGGTAACCGCGAGGCAAGGAAGTTTCAATAATTTGCGGATCGAGTGAAATCCACCAGGTCGAGTTCCCCGTTCGGAAAGTCGTCCATTGAATGCTCGGCGTTTCGTTCACAGGTCACGTACAGGAACGTCTCTCCTCGATCGAGTTTTCGCGAGAGCGTATGATGTCTCGGTGACTCGACATTCGTGGGTGCCGTGTTCGTTTACGGGGCTAACTCGCTCACGTTGCCAGTCATTTTTCCCGCACGACGTGCGATATTCCTGCTTGCGAATCAATATCGATTCAAAGGAATCCCGCTGGAATTTATCGACGATTGGACGGCAGGATGTACAGTTTGACCTAAACACGATTTACGGTAGGGTCGTCGAACAAAAATGAGACTAGATGTCAAGTAACGTTGGAAATTATGCGTATTTATTATCTATTCTTATAAATGGAGCTCTGCAAAATTAACTTCTATTTTTTGAGATTTTAATGATGTAACGATAAAATGCAGTAATGATAAAAATATCGCAAGCCGTTCAAATTTCTCCCGAAGATTGCGTCGATATGAGAGACGCAGTTTTACGTAAATATACGCGGCAGTAAAGCTACGCTTCCGTCGATTTTTTTTTTAGGCTGGAAAATAAAGCTTTGGAAAATTAGCATCCACTTTTTGAAACAAAAAGTCGCGCGTACAGGTAATTTGATTTGCCTTTTGTACAGTTTGACCCTCGCGTTTGAGGGCAACGCCACTCGCACCCTGAAGAAAGGCAACCAGACCGCAACGAGGAAACCTGGCTGCTCGCATTCAGGGTTGCCATGAAAGCCACTTGCACGAGGCTCATAATTTACGCTCGGTCTAGTAACAATTAAGACTCTTTGTTGCTACCTTTTTACGGCTGTTTCCATAGAGCCGGCGACTTATTAGGCGGCTTTTGATGTCCGCCTCGAAAAAGGAACAGGATTTGCGGATGCTCGTGCCATTTTTTAACCATGATTTTACCAGGCTTCCTCTCCAGAATTGTGAATTAAAGTATACAATTTTAATTACAAATGCATTAACGAGACTAATCGCGCGAGTTTCTTCGCAAGAAATGATATCCAAATTAATTTAATACTTAATTTTTGGCGACTCTTTCAAAGCTATTTATATCTCTTAAAGTTATTATCCGACAATGAAATGTGAATTTCTTTTCTCATTAATTGCATAGAAATTGTCTATGAGTTCTGTAACCGTTCCAAAAAATGCAAACGCCCGTGAAAATATTAAAACATCTCGATGATGTGTTCTACGTAAATTTTGCGGTGCAGTCAAAGGATTCAATGAAGTCGATTTTTTTGATTAAAAATGCGTCACATATGATAACGCTAATGCACGTCCTTTTCAATTAGAGATATACAATAGATTTTGAAGTAACGTCGAAATCCCCATCTCTTTCCCGAGCCAAACGCATTCATTCGATTGGACAAACTGGACGTTATTCTTGGTCAAAGGTGCTCGGCTCAATTGGAAACCTCGAGGACAGTGAAACGTCTCTAGCGCTCTGTCCTATTTAATGGACGAGTGGACCTCTGAAGACTCCCAGAAGAGCAAGTTTAAAAATCCGCGGATTTACCTCGTTGACTCGATTGAATTACGCCCGTGTAAAAAGGGACAGGTTTTTCGATAGTTTTCTCCATTATTCACCGCGGGCTTCCGAACGGGCGGAGGGTGCTCTCGTTCTTGATAATTTTTCACGTTAATTAAACGCTCGGTTGGTAACCGTTCGAAGAGTCCCAAGTTTTTTAGTTCGATCCTCCTTTTTTCGCGCTCGTTCTCTCCCTATCCCACTCGCGGAGTCTCTTGGATCCTTCTTTTCCACGTAGGTCATTTATTATTGTCATCCTTTTTCCGGAGGTGTTTCAGCAGTCCCAGGAAAGTTCCTCGATGCGACCAGCCTGAATATTTCATTCGCGTATTATCGCAACCTCGAGGCTGATATTTGAAAAAGGAGTGAAGTACCCCGTTAAAAATATCTTTTAATTTAAAGGGGGAAATAGGACAAAACGAAGACTTAGATTGTGCAGGCTCAAAGTAGGTCTAAAATTTCAGCTCGGGTAACAGACTCGAGATCCAACAACTACAGGCAATAAAAATGGCAGACATTTCCATTTCCTCCATTCGCGGATTTAAATCAGGATTTAATTCCTACCAAGTTAGACGTACAAAGTCGAAACTTGATGTTGAAGGGTCGAATAGGACCGAAGGAGAGCTTAGTTAAGTCGCGCAGGTTTCAAAGTAGGTCTAAAATTTGAACTCGGGTACAGGCCGAGAGGGATTCCGCCGGCGGGGAACATTAATCTTGCAGCTCGCTAGCGCATGTAAGGACTCTTTATCCTGCAGACCCCACGATCCTGGATCGGCCCGGAAGCCTGTCCTCCTTTTTAACGACCCGGCCTCGACAAAAGTTCCCCCGACTTGGCCGAGTGAATCAATCTTATTACGAAACGCTCCTAGCCAAGCCGAGTTGTGGTAGGTCGGAGTGCAATCCCAGGGGAAGCGAAAACTTCGAATTAGCGACAGAACTTACTCGGGTCCGGGTCCTGGGGGAGACCAGAGAAAGCTGTGCTTTCACTTGGTCAACTGCTCCGTCTCCGCCTTTTGAAACTAATTTTCTAATGATATCAGGATCCAAGATCAGGATCGCCGACTTACTTGCTCCAAAAGTCACTCTTCACTGTTGAACATGTTTCGATATTTCTGGGACCAAAACCAAAAACGGTACTCGGAATGAAAACCGAATAAATGTACAATACGTTTCTACGATGGGATTCGTGCAAGAATTATTTCGATTACCGCGAATAATGAATTTCATCCAGAAAGTGAATTTTTCGCTCCGAGTAGATTTAAATATACAGGTTGACTCAATTTGTAGAAGTGTGATTTAATCGAGTTTGCAAGCACAGATTTCCAAGCTCGATCTTGGAATTTTCATGGGTCCAGTCGATTATTAAAGGGAACGGGAAACTCGGAACGTTTGACTATTCCCGAGCTTCCCAATTGAATCATGCTTTTCCGCCGAAGAATAATATCGTCCACATCAAATCCAACGAAAGCTCAGCTCTCGCCGACCCGCTTGAGAACGAGCTTCAGAAACGAGACGTTCGATTTATCGATAACTCGGATGAACTTGGTCTGGAGCCTGTTCTGCGAGGGGAGCCTTACGAAAAGAGATTGCTTCTGTTCTACTGGATATTTTAAGAAATCGAGGAGATATCTCAGGATCCGTTTTCGTAGATTTCACCAGGGAGAAAAATGAACCGAAGTGTTCGGAATCCCACTTCAAAGGATGCGCGTCAAAGGACGGATTTTGTTGCGATTTCCTTACGTGATTCTGCACGGAAAATTGCACCTCGGGTGTGTAATCATTTTTCGATGTAATATTTTCTAGGAAAAAGGTGAGGATTTTTAGATACCAACATGAATGCCTTCTCTAAGGATATGAACCTTTAGAAACGTTGATAAAATGTATCCACTTTTAATTGTAGTGTAGGCATCACGGGAAGACATTCGTGTTTATCAATGCTCTGTGAAGGATTTTATAAAAAAATCCTTTTCGTTTCTTTTACACGTACCTTCGGAGTCAGAAGTGTCGGAGAGTGGAGGTTCGTTGGCAATGTATTGCCGGCCGCTGAGTAAATTGCTCTCGATGACTGGTCTTTTGTCCTCGAGTTGTCTTCTGAAGCCACGATGATCATCCTGAAAGAAAGCCGAACATGAGTGAATGCAAAAAATAATAAGAACCAACATGAGCGGAAAAGAACGCTCCTTCGGTTAAGTCAATATATAATAAACAAAGGACCTCTCTGGTGTTGAAAGTATTTGTACGCCAAATTAATTTTTTTCGATCAACTCTTTTCTTTCCAAGTGCCTCGAGAAAGTCCCAACAGAATCGACTTGCCGAATCTTCGACACAATCGAGTCGAGCACAGTCTGGAGTAAGCCAGATCGCGACTAAATGAAAATTTTGAAGAGTCGTGCCAAGTGGCCTCATTAATTTATGAAGATGCCCGTCTGCATACTCGGTACCGGGACTGCGTGCATCCGTAATTAAATTTGGCGAAGCAGCAGCGCAAGAAAAGTAGTGGGTTGCAAAATTTAAGAGGGCGAAAAGCACTCTCAAACGTTACATGCCCCACGACGGTACGTCCTAACAAGATTATCTCATCTTTCAGGGGTCCAGATGAGGAGACGGTTTCAAACTCTCTCAACGTTCCGTGTACGTATGTTAAACTAATTTTAACAACAACTTCCGCCCACGCCTCTGCACTCCGGGTTCGTCCAGGGATTTGCGTTATCGGGCTCCTATAGATTTCTCGCGAAATTTGGAATGGAAATTGCGACATCGGGAACAACAGCGTTACCGCTATTGGACGGCATAATAAATCTTCATTTCATAACCAGTACTCGTCATAATTGTCATATACGAGGGGTACATGGGGAGAGTTCCATATCTCTCATTAGCATTACACTCTTCGTACACGCTCGATAGTCGGCTAAGTATTTAAATAGATTCAGGAGGGAAAATTCGGTCGGACGGAGCATTAAATTCGCTTCATGCGCCATTTACGACGGTTAATCCATCGGCCGGTACTCGCAAAGTGGCAGAGATTTGTTAAGGAAATGGAGAAATATTAGGCTCAGGAATAAGTTCCCGCCGTTTTTTACGTAACCTAACGTAATTAAAACGGCGGGTATTTATTCCTTATCCTAGGTACTTCAACGTTAAGATGATGTTGAAAGCCCCCTTAAGTCACTTCACTCGAACAAGATACTTTAAACGATTCGGTGCGCCCAATGTGGACAAAAGTTTCATAAACGATCGGTCCCTTAAATGCCGCTTTCACGTCGCCTTGTAGTGATTTATTAGACGAATCATCTTTCCGCGTTTTCTGCACTTTCCGTATCGGTTTCCAGAGCTTGAAGAGCATCGTTTTTCGAGGGAGGAAAAAGGTTCTTCGAGGTGACGGCAGTGCTTGATAGGAATCGCCGGATCCCTCGGGACCATCGAGAACGGAAATTGATTTCGACGCTTAAACGCCAACGACGGTCTCAAGAGTCTGACTTGATTTGTTACTCCCGATTCGCCACTTCGCTCTCTATCGGATCTCGTCTCCAGACATTTGCACGGGAACCGAATCCTTATGACGAATAATCTCGCTCCTTCCTCCTCTTCGGGGACGGATTTAATTCCAGAACAACCACGAAGAGACGCTCTTCGCACTCGGGGGTAAAACACCGAATTTCGTGACGAGTTGGATTGGATCTCACACGTTTCGAAGTCATTCTCTCGGGGAGTTTGTAAACTTGCGAGGTGTCGATTAAGTCGATTATACAAAGTTTCAAAACTGAAACTTCCTCATGAACTGGATAACGCGGAAGGGCGCGCCTTGATATAAAATTATTTCATAACTTGTCTAAGTCAATCTTCGTCGTCGACGGCATGAAAATTTCGGAAAGTAAATTATGAAAATTCTAGGGCTCTAATATTAACAATTTTAGTTAACTTTGAAACCGTCCCATGAAATTTTAATTCCATATAACGTCATGGGACTTTGACGTCACATGTCCGTAATATCAGTTTTTTCTTGGCTTGAAATAAATAATTTGGGTACGGAGGGTTAAATAACCTCGGCAATACGGTACTGAGAATAAAGTTTTTCTTTGCATCTTGGAGTGCACTTCCGCAGGAACACTTCCAGCCGTCAAAAGGCAAAGCTGACGTTTCCGTCGAATATTCCGATTCCTTTCGAATCTAATTCGGGTACGTGTCGCGAGGGTGAAGCAACCCACGTCGAAGTTTCCCTAGACCTGGTATCATAAGCGTGACACTCTTGCCAAGTGGTATCATATCAGGACGACAAGTATCTCCCATCGAGTTGCCCCAAATCTGAAAATTACCTTGAATTCCGTGACACCTTCGCGATGAAAAACACCGGTCTACAGGTAGAAGAGATCGGGTACAGTTGCAACAATTTCTTTTCTGGCCCTGCTTGAAAATATTCCAGCAAAGAAAATGTACTACAGTCACAAGAAATAAGATTTACTTCGTAACAAGTTTATCGAAAAAATTATTCAAGTTTCAGCGGCAACAGGTAAAGAATACGTGACGCATATAAAAATAATGAAAATATAAATTCTCTAAAACAAAACAAATAAACTTTTGTTTCACTAACAACTTCCAGATGAACGGAAATTAAGAAATTCATAGAACAGGAAATATTAACCATGATTTATGCATTTCGAGTCTCCACGATTTACGAGGTAAAGATATAAATTCCCTAAATTATGGGAACGCGTTTCACGATCCCACAATTTACAGCCATTATTGAATATACAAATCCACATACCCGTGTCCAGTGTTACCAGTTTTTAACATACATATCCGACATACTTATACCCGAAGTCACAATTTTACCGTGTTACAATTATACCCGATGTCCCCTCCATAAATCATATTCGCTGCCAAACAACTCTCGCTCGGAACATTCTTTTTCCCACCCAATTGCATTTCAGCCTCGATTCAATTCCAGTCGTGCCCACGAAATCGATCCCGAAGATCTCGATCCACGCTTTGTCAAATTTCGATAGCCGCTTGTCAGCGGCCGTTTACTAAATCATCGGCCCAACACGTTCACGTGTGCGTACATTCGCGTTCACCTAGGACACGGTATGTTTCAATTATGCGGTGTTACGTGCTACGCGTAACGGATAATGCATCCGATATGCCGTGACCGTTTTCCGAAATTCACCCCCGCGGACCGTCATTAAATACGATTAGCTCCAGCTAGTTCATCGCCGTCTGAGGAAGCGTTACTCGATCTTCTGCTATTAAATATTTTATATCTTTGTCTTATCATTAAATTGCCGAGATATTACAACACTGGGAGACGTCGACAATTCCGAAATGCCGTCCATAAATGATCAATCATTACTATTTTTATTCGCTAAAAAGGACATGACCTGTACTGGGAAAAAATGTCTTTGATTTCTAAAGGATGTTCTCTGAACATATATCATTTGATAGAATTGCAACTATTTTTGCCGTTATTACTGCGGTGAGTGGAAACCTTTATCAGGAATACCGCCCTATATTAGAAGTGCAAAGGAATTTTCTTTTGCGTGGAAAGTGTACTTTACGAGCCCTGGTGTCAGATCAGCTGATCGTCACGTCCTACCCCAACATCATCTCGGCAGTCCCGAATGAGAACCAGCTCCGAATCTGGTTGTTCGTCTTATCGAACACCCAACACCAGGCCAGGTTATCGGCAAACGAGGGATGCGTGAGTCCGACCTACACGCGCTAATCAGGATTAGGACGATCATTGTCCTTTGTCATCGGGAGGTCTATACGTCACGGGGCGCAGCTCCTGCAGATACTGCACCTCGTTTTGCGAACAAGCACCCTTTGTCACCGGCACCCGGTCTTTGGATCGTCGCTCGGGAAACGTTGTTATCAAATTATTGTTCGCGCCAGAGGTACCAGGGTGAGCTTCGGTGCAAGCTGCATTATGCGCGAGCAGCGATCGATGGTGAAAGCTCGCCCGAGGAAGTCTTCTTCAGTTTCCATTCTCGACTTAAGGTGTTGCGAAAGGGGCATCATCCGAGGGGTCTCGTCTCGTTTATCAACTTTTCCTCCGAATTAGTTTTATCAAATCGTTTAAAGTGTAACCTCGTGAATATGGCCCAAGAAAGGTTCTGGCATCTATGAAATTTCCGATTTTAAATTTCTTTATACAAGATTTCGTAATTTTTCTTTAGAAAATATGGAATTATTTGGCTGTCAAGACCTTCCTTAGGGCCTTCACATTTACACGGTGAAATTTCACACGGTTCGGTACATCCAGTTCAGAGAAAAGTTTCATGAACGATTGACTCTTCAGATGCTACTTTCACATCCCCTTAATCGAGAGTCTTCGCTTCCGTTTCCTGTCCCGCGAGTTAAACGAAAATTCGCCAGAGAAACTTTAAACGACGTAATTCAAAGCGAGATGTATTAATTAACGATTTTTCCGAGAAAGTTCCCCGGCGTATTAACATATAAAGTGGAAAAAATTGAAATGATCCGCGGGAGTTAAGGTGCCAACTCGGTCGGATCGATCTCAGGACTCGATTTCTTTAAGCTGCGAAAGAAAGTTTAATTACATCTCGTGAAGGCTTTAAATTCGGTCGGGTTTTTATTTAATCAGTTAGACTCCTCCCGTTTTTTATCTGGTTTATTTAACGTTCAAGAGAATCTCGACGGGCGCTTTGAGGTTGACCCTGAAGGGTTGATCAATTCGCTGCTAAATTTATCCGCCAGTTAATCAAACGCCCTCAGAAGGTAATTCTGATATAGTGGGCTTCCCATTAACCCAAGATGGACTTATCATCCGGTAGTTAACTCGTGAATGGACCAATATGTCCTGAGGGCGCGCTGATTTATCTCGGGATAAATTGATCACTTCATTGATCAAACATTTACTTTAGAATATTAATTCCATAATATTTCTATAATATTAGCTCCACGTGCTCTCGTCATATTTTTCTTACAGATTTACAAAACGTTTCGTTTCATTTTAATACAAGGAGTAACAAGTATTTAATTTGAGAAATATGTCGTCGGTCTGTCTGATGCGAGAGGTTAAAAAGAGTTCTGCATTTTGCAAATGACGAGATACATTTTCGAAAATTATGCTACGGTGGAGAGCGCATAAATAGTGAATTTTTATTGGTTACAAATTTATGCTCATACCAGGAAGGTCAAAACCATTGCAATAATTGGAAAAGGTCTGTACTTAATAAGTAAGACCCCCCCGAGTGCTTTGTGAGTCAGTACTGCAGGTAAATTTGCAATGGACGTTTATTACAGGAAATACCTTGGCCTCCTGCTTGTCACAATTGACATTTTATTCTAAAGGACCGATTATGGAATTTCCCTACCGCCGCTAATAATCCCTAATAAAATGCCCTACTTACCCAGGGATTATGACCTGCAGAGCTTTGACTAGAACTGCCGCTTTGAATTGCTTTATGCTATGCCGTTAATCCCTGACTTTAGAATTCATGGTAAATTGAATTTACCATTAACCGCACCGACAATAATAACCCAATTATTAATACCATTTAAAACTGGTCCTTTGACCGGCCGGTACGGTCAGGGTTAAGCCATGGCAATAAAAGAATCAAACTACAAGTATACCTAGATAGCACCATTGTACTTATGAATATCCTTAAAATCTTTCAACATACTCTGGAGATTTGAAATATTTATCGCCTATCGGAAATCCACCCCTACACACGTACCTGTTGTTTCTGGAGGGTTGCGATGTCTCCACAGACCGGTCCCAATCCGGTGAGTTCCGTGTCCTTCCGTATAACCCATTCGATGAGTTCCCTGAGCGACAGCAAGAGGGCGTTCCAGTGTTCGGCGTTGCTCTCCAGTCTGTTCCTGCGGACGAAAGAATGGGACATGTAGGTCCAGAACCGGTACCAGGACTCTGGCGAGCCATTAAACCGGGCTTAGGTCCCTATCGACTCCCGTGGGATCCCATTTCTCGTTCTATCGACCCCCCGCGAACCCGAGGGAAGCTGGGACGTCCTCTTCGGGTTCGCATCTTTCTCGCGCACGTTTCGCTCTCGGTGCCCGGCATAATTTCAATCATCGCACCGCCCCGTGGCAGTAAACCGTTTAGTGCGCCATAAAACGTAAGCGTACGTATGTATATGTATATATACAAGAATATAGGCGTAAATACGAAGCGCCACCTAAGGTGTCCGCATTTACATTTTGCGCCGCGTGTGAGCCGCCATCTTTGGCCGGCCCTAAAAGGGACGAGAAATTGCGAATCTCCAGGGTCGACTTGATCGATATATTCATATTCCTATGTGGTAAGACAAAGGGTGGTACGGAGTGATGGGGAAATACGAGCTCATAAGCTTGGGACAAAAATTATTACATACAATAAACGTAAATCGCGATAGCGAAACTTAAATAATTTCGAGACCAGAAGTATGAACTTTAGACCATAAATCGTATAAAGAGGACCAAAGACAGGCCCAGTTCATTGTCGCGGAAATTACCCTGCACGTGCAGGCCCATAAATTTTGGCAGTCCTCAATAATCTCCGACCCAAAGAATTTTCCTGGGCAAAGTTAACTGTTAAACTTATCCCCTCCACTTTTTCAATCCCCACTGTCGAAACTTTGGGCCTTGACCACGGGGGTGGTATCGGTATATATACAGGGACTTAGGAAGCGTGCATCATTACTGCAGTAATTTCGGCACTGGTCATTTCTGCTTCGTCTCGTCACTTGCAACAAGACTCTACGAAAGTTTTTTGATTACGAGATTTTTATCTCACGTCTCGATTTTTCGCAAAAAATTTCGAGGGTGTAACGGGTAGAAGAACTCGGTCTGAAAGGGTCCACGACGAGTGCGCAGAAAGGACATCCTTCGACAATCCGCTTCTGATTCCAATCTGAAGGTATTTTCAAGACACTACATACACACAAAAATGTACGTAACGAATCCTCCTCTAGTTCCTCTTTCTCTCGTTTTGTATCCCAATAATTCTACCATAACAATAAACTATGTAGGATAAAGTTTAGCAAATTATACCGGATCTACAAAAATGCCAATAGAAATATCTTTAGCAGGGCGTTTCAGTAATCAAATTCATATTTCATTTATCTGAGAAATTCTGCATGCAATGTAGCGCCCATTGGGAAGTGAAACGGTTACAGGATTAACCTTGTATTCCTCTAATAAATCGAACCTTACTCGGGATTAATTTTTCATTTCTTTTTCATTAGATGTCGGACTCTTGCAAGATTACTTGTCGCAACGACGTGAAGGCCGCGCCGATCCCGATTCCCCGTCGCGTCCGGCTTCCCGAAGGACCTAACCAGGGTACGAGGGAGTTCCCTGTGCTTTTGTCAGACCCTTCCGAGTGGTGCGACCCGGAAACGGAGAAGAGGTTCGTCCGGGCCCGGAAGTTCCCGCAGGAGCGGTCGTCCCGATAGTTCACGTCCTGGTCCAGGCAGCAGCTTCGATGGAAGTCGAAGATCTGCGGTGAACCTTCCTCTCGACGGCGAACATCGACCATCGCGATGTCGCACGTACGAAAATTCCGTGGTCCAGTTTGACAAAAATAGTTTTCCTCCAAAACGGAACGTTAAGCCCTCAATTTATGGATCTGTAATTCGCGGGGAACTGAGGTCGTGTGGGTGAAAATCGTTTTAAATTCTAATGTAACGACTCGTTTGTAAAACTGAATCCATGCCGATAAGTCACGTTAAGTATTAATAAATATAAATTACTGCCCCCGCAGGGCACAGCTGAGACTTCAAAAATTAATGTAGTTTAGATTACTAGTACCATATTGTCATATTAAAGTATTTAGCATCGTATGTTCGAGTTGTGATTATCTCCTCCCCGTACTAAGTTTGAACAGAACTTCGAGCGGAAATGTTATATAATTATCCTACTTTTCTTAAACCGTGAATGTCAGAGATTAAATAGTGTTTCGTTGGTACAGAAGTTGCGAGGGCTTTACAAATTAGTAAAGCAAAGAATAAATAAAATAGTAAATGGATAGATCAGGAAATAAGTAGAAATCAAGTAGAATGTGTTGTCCTCGATACAGGGAAGAGACATCGTTTCAAAATACATGAAATTATTATTAGAGAGAGAATGTGATTTTTTATAGGAAAGGTAAGATATTTTTGGATTTATTGGACGTTTCGAAAGAGGAGAACGTTCATCTCCGGTGTCTGTTATGTTTTGGTCTCCGGAATTGATGCCTCGGTATTGTTGGGGTAGGCGAGTGATGCAGGTAATACAGGTGATGCACCGAGGCATTTTGCGTGGTTCTATGGTCCTCTATCGCGAAGAAACAGCCGGTGGATATATTACGGTTACTGCACCGTAGATGAGAAGCTTTAAGGGATGGAGACCATGAAAGTGGACCGACATTTTTCTGACATCGTGTGAATAGAGGTACATCGGCATATACTGTCAAGTAAAAACGATATCACGAAAAATGATAAAAAGATACTTCTTTAGATACTCAAAACTCATTTAAAGCGTATAATTAGAAGTTTTAAGTAGGATCAAAATTTCATCTCAAGTTGTGTTTTAGAACTTTTGTCAGAAATCAGTAGCTCGTCGCATGCTCGATAACGCGACTTTGACTTCATATCGCGAAGAAGCAGTTCATAGATTTCAGCATTCCGATTGTCGCAACGTCGATGAAAACTTGCCGGATTCTCCCCGGGTGTATTGTCTTAGTCCAACGTGTGGATGGCCGCGCCAGTGCACGCTGACGCGCATCAGGGTGCATCACGGTGCATCAAAGCGCATCAGAGCGCACCAATGCCTAGAGACGATCACGGAACCGAGAGAACCGAGCACGAAAAGGAAGAAAAGCACATATTCCGAGAGTGGATGAGAAAAGCTCGGCAGACAGTCATTCCCGAAGTAATACCGAATCGCTATAACTTTCTCCCCTTTCGGGTCTCTACAAAAAGGAATGAAACAAATCTCACAACTGGGAGGGAGAAAAAATGGAGGAGTCTCTAAAATTCCTCTAACATAAAACTAATAAAAAAACATTCCTGTAGGAATTTCCCACATTTCCCACGATTCATCGTATAATTTATTAACCGAGATTAGTGGAACCTAAGAATCTAAATCAGGTCGTCATGCGCTTGGCGAACTCAAAATTCATTTACGCGGGAAGAACTTATGCTTTGACGTTAGATCCTGAGATTTGAAGGTAAACTTGGCTGCACGAAATATAGCAAATCCTAATTAAGTCCTGGGCCGAAAAACCAGCCAAGTGACCGCGTAAAACCGATTTCCTTGGATTAACAGTCCTTCCTTGGCCCTGATCGAGTTCTGCATCCGCAAAGTTCAGGGAAGGAATGTCGCTGGGAAAAGTTTCGATTTGCCAGGGGAGATTAAGGATAATGAAAACACCCCCGGCTAAACCGCGAAACGAATTAGGTGGCCGGGCGTGCCAACGCCCCGCGGAAGTTTCCGCTCCCGCGGGATTATACGAGCGGTTTTAATGCGGTGCGATTCGCGGCCGCGCGCGGATCGACGCTCCCCTTTCCGGGGATTCCTCGTCGCCAAAAGTTGGGATTAATTAGGGGAGGAAAGGAAAATTATATGCTGTGGAGAATTAAGCGACACGCCGATGCGAGGAACGTAGGAACAACAAATTTCCGCACGCGGGGCGCAATGCCAAAATATTTCTTGCAGTCTTGCACAAGTGATGCGATAACGGTTACGAGGGATGACATTATGTCGCATAGATGCGATTTTAGGATTAAATCGGGACGGTGACAACGATTTTGATGGGGTAAACGGTGGACGTTATGCGTCTATACATGCAAGCAGGACTTTATGTATATTAAAATCTGAATACCAAGAATTAAGTGAGATTAATTAATGATATTTTTGGACGTAACTGCTACGCTTATTTTATATCTGGCAAAATGATCTTTGTTGAATTCAAGGGAATTGTTAAGTTAAGAAAGAGACTTTGTATTAAGGACAAAACGCGCTATATCGAAAAATGAAGTGATGTACGATTAAGTCTGAATTATTATGATATTTAGCAGAGGGAACATTTAAAAAAAATTGTGATAAGGTCTCATAAGTGTAATTGCCGGTACGTTGAGGTCGTAATTCAAGCGGGGAAACAATTTGCCGAGCACAATCCCAATCTAAACAAGAGCACCATCCCCAGGAAAGCCGGCAAAAGCGTCTAAACTTCCGCCCATAAATAATGTGGATATTAGCAGTGGCCTGCAGTTGCAAGCCCTAGAATTCGGGCTATTCAATGCAGGCTCGACTAATAAAAACTGCTAGGTCAATTTCGAAATGCCACTTTGTAGCAGGAAAAGCAAACACGATGTAACGAATTGTCGCAGAGATTTTTTATAATTTTTTTTTTAAACATTTGATTGAACAACAATTAGGAAGAAGGTTCCTAAACGTATGTATAATATCACCAAATCATTTTCTATAATCAGAAGAAATTCTTGCGACAAAAAGATTTCCACTTGCTATTATCAATAATTTTAGGTGATTATCGAACTCATGAGATGCAATCGTAATTGTTCCGATGAGGACGAAAATATACGCGGATTACTCAGTTTGATGCAATGATCGGGGAATTCGGTTACTATCACGTAATTAGTGCGCAAGCTGCGGATTCCTTCTGTTCTCCACCGGCGGAAAATCAACGATGCATAGTTAACGATCTTGTAAACATAAAGCCTCGAGTTCCGCGTGGGTGAACGACTGCATTCGTTTTGCGCCAAAGAAAGGGAATGATTAATGAGTGTTAAGAGCGGCCGATAAGAGGACTGTAAGCCATGTCAAGGGATAATGGTAGGTGTAACAGGAAGTAATAGCTGTGAGCCTTGGATATGTAATGT